TCTGTAATCATAATCAGGAAGAGTTATTGAATTCTCGTCTTTTAAAGGCTTTGAAATTTCATCAGTAACTATAATATCATTAGACTTAAGCAATTCATCAAAATCATCACTGCAATTCATATTTGTCACACTTGTTGTCACACATCTCATTGAAGTCCTCTAGATATTTCATTTTCAAAAATCTGCGTTGAGATAATGCTGTGAATTGAAAATTATCAACATTTACCTACTTTGTAGAATCCTCTGGAATTCTGAACAAACTTATATTTTTGCCAGTTTTTGTAAAACAACCACGAACAACACAAACTGTTCCTCCTTTGCGAAACATTCTCCTGTGTAAAAGATATTTCCCTTATATTCCAATAGTTATTGAAATAAAAGTTGTGAACAATGACAAAGGAACGTTGAGTGAAAAGTGAGGTTGAAGAAAAAACCGCCTGTAACCGTACATGCTTTCGCATCTGTATTTAGACATGTGTCTTCTCACTGCTAAAAACACAGACCTTTATATGAAACATCAATTCTTCCCCAAATCTAAGGATATTTCCCTATCTTCTTCATGACAATGACGTACAATTTCCCTAGCATTCTACGGAAATAAAAAAATACTGTCAAGTATAGAGAATAATTCAATTTCAATCCCTACAAAATAACCGCTATAAATATCAATAATTCGCAATTACTTCCATTATTCCACGTTGGTGTCGAGGCTAAGGACAACGTCTACCACGCCGACGACTTGCGTTCAAATCTCATACTGATAAAAACTTTTTTCAATTAGTACCACATGACTGGTACGTGACAAGGGAGCCCGAGAAGTGAGGCGGAGTCCCAATGGGCTCCACGCTCTTTAAATCTCTACCATACTTATTCCATCCTTCTCTGCATCGATTACGTCACACGTTTCTCTCTCACTCTCGGATGTTATGAAAATTGCAAAAAGTTTAGCTCCATAAGGAAATACATGGGATTTTGGGCCAGAACCCGCCTGGTTCATCTACTGGTGGTTTGAAATTCCCGCTGTACGCGCGGTAGCTTCTGATTGGTTTACTGAATGACGGCAAAAGTGAAGGAGTGGGCTCTGAAATTCTAAGGCCCAATTCACACAGAATGGACGTCTGTCAGAGATGAGGCGCGGACCTTTTTCCCTTCCGTGTGAACTGGGCCTGAGGTCCAGAATGGACCTGCTCAAATTTACACGTGTTTTTCTATAAGGATTGTCATAGAACTCACCTAGCTATATTACTGGTATTATTTGTAGAATATCTGTTTTTCGTGTAGTATATCTTTGATAAAAAATGTAGTGAAATGTTGAAACACATCATACAAATGAAAAACAGGGCGTTTCATTTGAAAAAGTTGAATTATGTCTGTTTGAAAATGAATGAAGCTTGACCGGTTTTACCGAGCACCCTATATATTGTTACCGAAAATTAAGATTCCCGAAATTATCAGGTGATGTTGACTAACTATTCCTAAAAAAATCCACTTAATTGCTGTAGACATGCGGGTGGTGAATTAAAAAAGTATTGTCTGCAAAATAGGTTTTTCTGGAATAACTTGGCAATGCCGCAATGGAAATTCAAAAACAAAAATTCATTAGTGAGCTAAAAAACTGAAATCGAATGACGTGTTCATATACTGGGTATTCCATTTAAAAAATATATTTTTGGTTGGCCACGCTTGGCTGAATCACCCAATGTGCGAGAAAATAATTTTAAAAGATAATATTTATAGCAATGGACCGAGGGAATCTTGTTGACTCGCCCTGTACAAAAGTTACTCACTTAACTCATTCATCTCTATTTTTCCTTATTGGTAAGTCCTAGGAAACTAAAATTTGGTATATAGGTGCTTCTCAGATCTTAGATGCACACTAAGAAAGGATTTTCGAATATTTCAACTGGGGAGCCCCTCGCGGGGATAAAAGGGGCGCGTTTACATATGAAAATTACCTATTTATTATTGTTTCCCCGTACAGTTATATTTTCGGAGGTTGAAATTTTGTTAGGCTCGTTTAATGTTGCAGATGTGCAATAAGGAAGGATTTTTTAATAGTCCAACTGGGGCTCCTGCACTGCAGATAAAAGGGGAGCGTTAACATACGAAAATTGAATAGAACTGGCCGATACTTGATGAAAATCCATATTAAACTAATTAATACAGTTAATTGTATGATTTTCACTATGAAAGGTTTCACAAAAACCGCGACACATGTTTCCCTTTACAATAGTTTTCTCAAGCTTAGTTTACACTTGAGAAAGCTATTGTATAGCGAAACACGTGTCGTGTTTTTGTAAAACCTTTTATAGTGAAAATCATACAATAAACTGTATTAATTAGTTTTCATATGAAAATTTTCTTTTCAACATTGTTTCTCCGTACTGCTATATTTTCAGTGTAGGTTCGTTTCATGTTGTAAATGTGCAGTGTGAGATTGATAGTTTTATAAACATTTTTGAATCGTATGATTATATTCCTACATTTCAACAATTCATTCAATGTAAAATAAAACTTGTGGCTACCTATTTCTCTACCTTGATGCAAAAAATGTAGGAATCTTCCAGATAAAGGAAGAAAGCAATCAATTTCAAAAAATGACTATACAACGATGTGTAGATCATGCAAGCCAAAACCTTTTTTTGTCATAAATCAATCTCTCCTAAAAGTATACCCCTTCCAATTTAAACAAGATTAATTTTTAATTCAAGTTGGTAGTGAAAAGTCAAAAAAACTCATTGATAGAAGGATCCAAAAAATTATCTTCAGTCTGGATTCCTGGCTACATTGACATGAAATATGATGTTGATTCCCTTGCAAGGGAGGGGACTGCAAGATTTGACATAGCTTTAGCTTTTGCCAAACACTGACTGCAAACACCTGGACTGCAGAATTCTGGCAAAATCTACCAGAATTGGCCCATTCCAAGACTTTTTTAAATCATGAAAAATGAGAAATAAAACTTTCTATACCAATAGGACGAAACTGCAGTAACAACATTAGTGGTAAAAAACATAGAAAGTTTCATTTATCACTTTCCATGATGATAAACTGAGTTTATTGTAATTGTTTGAAAATATCCTTATAGGACGAAACTGCAGTAACAATATAAGTTACGAATGAAAGTAGAAAAAACATAGAAACATTTATTTCTCATTTTTCATGATGATCTCCTACCACGTAGTAATGACTACATCCATCAATTTACTTTTATGCATCCTATGAAGAATCTCACCAAATAAATGTTAAACTACACTAGGAACATAAAATTGATGGATGTAGCCGTTACTATGTGGCAGGAGATCATGATGAAAAGAGATGAAAATTTTCTATGTTTCTTATATATAAAAGTGGTAAAAAACATAGAAATTTTCATTTTTCTTTTCATCATGATCTCGTACCACATAGTAACGGCTACATCCATCAATTCATTTAAAGGTTTTTGATTAACGATTGCGTTTACGGTATAGCAGAATATTTGAGTCAACATGAGGACTAATTTTTTTTCATAAATAAGTGAAATACTTTTTGTAGTTGAAATAAATAATAATAATAATAATAATAATGATAATAAGACCTTGGCTTATCAAAGCACCTGACGTTCGTTTTTCTCAGGTCGAGTGGGCTGAAGTCGGAAACTGAGGGGTTCATCATGGCTTGCCGGGTGTCTTCAACACCTTAGTCTACCG